CCAATTCGTTTAATTATTTTTTGAGTAACGAATGTTCGTTTCGAAGCTGAGTCAATGAGAGCTCTAACCGTAAATATTTCTCCAGAATATTTTACGTTTACCAGAGCTGTAGGCAGCATAACGTCATCATGACTCACTGACACGTGTGTTTCCACATTAGAAGTTTGAGCTACAGAATTGGACGAACATGGCATTTCTTCTACAATATTCTCTGTGGTAACTAGAGCATTTGTTTGGCGTCCATTTTCAGAACGGTAAGTGTTTTGACTTTCTCTTGCTACCAATCTTGGCTGTGTAGATCTCTCTTGAACGTTATTTGGTACATGCAGTTTAGTGTGGTGCTTCTTTTTGCAAAACATACACCTATGCACACTAACGCATTCCTGAGAAATGTGTCCATATATAAGACAATTGTTACACAATCTTTTTTCTCTTGCAAATTCAATTCTCTGATTTACACTCATACTATTAAATCTTGAACAATTCTTTAAAATATGATTTCTATTACACATGATACATCTATTCGATTGTGTCGATTGCGCATTTTGATGCGCTTGAAATTCATCATTAAAGGCAGTTGAAGCTGCTATATTTCTTAGACTGTCTATTCTCTCTAGGACTCTATGTCTGTTTTTTAAAAAATCTTCCATTTGTGACCATTTGGGTAGCTCTGAATGTGATTCGAGCGATTGTTCCCAAAGAGTCAGAGTTTCAACCGGAAGCTTAGTTGAACACAAATATATCAAAATAGGATCCCATTGATCTATTTGCACCTTATGTGCTTTTAATATAGCTAGACAGTCGCTAACTGTTGATTGAATTCTTTTTATATCTCTGCTAGATTCAGTCTTTGCTGCCGAAAGATTGAATAAAATCTTTAATTGATTATCTACCAGTACCCTCACATTTTCGTATCGCACTGATGCTTCCCATGCCAACGAAAAATTCTGATCAGATAACGGGTACCGATCAACAATTCTACCAGCCTCACCCTTTGTTTTGTTACGCAAATGATAGAGTTTTTGCGCAGGTGTGAGTCTGGGATGATTTCCATATATGGCCGTAAACATGTCTCTAAAAGTTGGCCACTGTTCATAACTTCCGTAGAAGTCTTGAGTGTCACAAGGTGGCACTTTAATACAAATTTCCGACATGTCAAAGGTTGTACCAGGAGGATACACAGCTGAGCTGTGAAACAGTGACGGATTTGTAACATCGCCTCTAGCGGTATTATTTTGATTTTCTTTTCTTTTCTTCAAAATCTCTAATAATTTAGCTTTTGTAGTTTGATATTTGTCCCTGAGGGACTCAAATATTTTTCTGGCTTCTAATTTATAAGCCTTTTCTTCTTCTTCCTCTATTTCTGCTAAATATACACATTCAAATGCACTGCGTGCATTGTGCCAATCTTCATCAATGGATTCTAGTTTGGTTTCTATTAAAGAATCCGAAAATAGTTCCTCGGGAGTATTCTCCAATTGAATGCACATATTCATAAGGCTGTCGGTTTCGTATTCAAATTTAGCACAAATTGTTGAATCCATTTTGTTTTTCTATTTATTTTTTATGTATATTTATATGAGGTTTATTTATTGTTATTTATTATATTTTATTTACTTTTTTTTTATTATTATTATTTTTTTTATTATTATTATTTATTATACAAACAAATTATAATTATCACTTTATTTATTTTTAATAAATAAAATGAAATTATTTCCGTAAATGTTTTTGATTTGCCGTATAATATTATTTTTCTCAGCAAAAGTTTAATTTGTTTTTAAACTTATTGAAAAATTGTTTTAAATATATTTTTTATGATTTGTTTATTTAATTATTTTTTTTTTAACTTTTATTATCTTATTATTTATTTTTATTCAAATTATTTATGTGTATTATTATATTTTATCGATTCAATAATTTATGCAAAGTTTTATACGTTACGTCAGAAACTTGCGTTACGTTAGCGAGTAATTGCACAACTTTTCTGACCCAGCAGCTGATCGATAGTCGAGATGGTAAGCACAACAGACGAATCGATCTGGCACAATAAACATATGTCAAAGGATTGTTTATTACAAATGGCACAAATGACGAATGCGACAAATGTAACACAAAACAAAATGAAATAAATGCCAAAAAAAAAAAAAAATGATGGAGAAAATGAAAGTGATTGTGGTGTTTTATAATGGTGTTAGTGTATGTGTTTTTGATAGTGTTAAGAAACAATGAATACAAACAAATATCTCTTTTTCTTCTAACTTCACACAAACAATTTCTTTTGGAAATGGCAGTGCTGATTTTGTTGTATGTATGTGTGTCTACGACAAACAACACAAAAGCCGCCACATTCGAACACAGATGAAAACACAACAACACTTCTTACTACTTTCAAATTAATTTTAAATTAAAATTAGTGCTTTTTTTGGAAAATATTTTTGGCAAATAAGCCGATTCTTTATTTTTTGGACTCGAAGGACCATGTACAAGTTCCAATACCGTCGTATGGACTTGTTGTGGTTCAAATTCTACTGAGTAGATTTTGAGCCGGAATTTATTGTTGCACAAAGACGAACAACAATATTGTTTAGCAAACTACAAACAAACACAAAAGTATTCTGGCGATACTTACGTTTGTTGTCTGCACAAAAGAAAAAGCACTTTAATAATTTTTATTTTAAAGTTAAAATGACTCTGTCGGTCAACTTTTTTATTTATAAAAAATTCACAATTTTGATCTGGCGATCCACTTTTCTAAACTTCAAGAAGAAGAGTGCCGTTTTTAGTTTTGTGACGACATCGATAGTTTTTATTTATCGAGATCGATTAGATCCATGTCGATGTCGTCATCTATCGGGTTGGGTCTATTCCCAACACTGTTGCTTGTGTGAAATGCCACAATGCTCGAATCTGTAGTTTTGTTTATTTGTATAAAAAAAAATTGTTCTTACCAATCGTAATGTTGGCCAGTACTTACAAACAATTTATTAGCAAGCATTATGGTATTTATGGAAGTGTACTCCAAATTGTTCCTCAGTTCAGTTTTTATTATACAATGTTGCGCGAAAGTAAACCTCCTATCAAAAAATGCTATCAATTTTACGATTGGCCCCCAATGTCTTAATTATAGCCAATTATTTTTATTTAAAACGCATGACAATAATAAAGAAGATCATATACTTACGGTGTGCACTTAATATTATCCATAGAATTTGCTTTGAGGTTTTAGCCACGAATTAAGATAGGAAGCTAAAAAATTGCACAGATCTGTATTTTGGTTCCAGGCAGATCAAGTTCGAAGATGGGCTATATCGGTTTACGATATCGTATAGCCCCTATTTAACGGTACCCCCATATTCGGTATTTTGATGATTTTACTCACATGCTTCAATGGAATTGTCCGAAATTGTACACAAAGAGTTTTTTATGATAAAGTATATATTGTACTTGTCTATATAGGTTCACAATATCGTATATCCCCCATGTATAGGCACCTTCCGATATTCGGTATTTTTAAGATTTTAAAAGAATTTTTAATGGATTTTATTTTTTAGAAAATTTCGATCCAAGTGGTGGAGGGTATTCAAAGTTCGGCCCGGCCGAACTTACTGCTTTTTTACTTGTTTATACCCTTCACCATACATAGTATGGAGGGTATATTAAATTAACATTCCGTTTGTAACTCATCGAAATAATAATTTTAGACCCAACAAAGTATATTGATCTGCGTAAAATAAGACAATTTAGCCCAGTCTTTTCTTAAAATTCGCACAAAGAAGAGTACTTTATCCCTAGAAGATAATTGTCTATATAGGTCCACGATATCGTACCACGTCTTCGTATGGCCCCTATATAATGGTTTTCATTTGGGTGGTACTTTCCTATAGAATTTTTTGTGCTAAGTGAGCACAACTCATCTCGATATTTGAATTTTGGTTGTTGCAAAATGGTCAGGCTTTATCCCTTCAATGTTGTTTTTATAAAAACAACGTTCGTTTATTAGTGGAGAACGATGGTAATGTTTACCAGGGTGTAAGGCAGGGAATACCTAGGTTTCGGAAAGAGCCACCAATCCTCATCAGTTCCCTTGTTTTTTGTCTGGGATATTCTCCCCTGAGGTTATTTTAAAAATAACTTCTATGACAAAAAACATTTCTTACCCAAGTGACGAGATCGTAAGCTCAATAGAAGAGGAACCAAAGAATTAAATAAAACTAAAATTCTTTTGGAAAGTCTTCTAAATCTTACAACCGCACTTAAAAACATTTACATCTTTCTCTACTTGTTATGCTTTCGTTCAACCTGAACGAAGTAGCATAACCATGTAAGTTGGTTTTGTCTGTTACAACAAAAATCCCCTCGTCTATTAATAGAACAGTGTGGCTTGTTTGTTCGGGATACCATAGTATTTTGTTGTTGCAAAATGGTCGGGCTTTATCCCTTTATTGTTGTTTTTATAAAAACAACGTTCGTTTATTAGTGGAGAACGATGGTAATGTTTACCACGGGGTAAGGCAGTGAATACCTAGGTTTCGGAAAGAGCCACCAATCCTCATCAGTTCTTTCCGAAACCTCAGCACAACTTTAATTTTTTCGAAATTCGAAAATTGCAATTCTCTCAGATTTTTTCGAAAACATTTGTTTTTCGAATATATCAGATTTTTTTTTTCGAATTTCGAAAAAAAATCGACACAATTGAGTACATCCCTAGCACAATTCAGCACAACTTTCCTTTTTTCGACCACATAAAACAATATATGTTATTACTAATCGTAATGTTGGCCAGTACTTACAACCAATTCATTAGCAAGCATTGTGGTATTTATAGAAGTGTACTCCAACTTGTTCCTCAGTTTAGTTTTTATTATACAAGGTTGCGCAAAAGTAAACCTCCTATCAAATAATGCTATCAATTTTACGATTGGCCCCTAATGTCTAAATTATAGCCAATTAATTTTATTTAAAACGCATGACAATAATAAAGAAAGTCATATACTTACGGGGTGTACTTAATATTATCCATAAAATTTGCTTCACTATTGAAGTATTGGCCATTATACTTGTTCTCTTTTTTGATCTTTTTTTCTATTGAAAATTCGTCGGAAGCGCTCGCAGGACAATCTTTGTTTCGTTCCAATTGTACTTTATACTGTAGAAATTCAACCTCATATGGAATAGGTTTTGTTCTGCTTAAATGTTTGATTTGAGAGGAAGTTATTTCTTCGTGGCGTAGTAGAGATGACATAACTTTTCCAAATAAAGAATGAGGCCGCTATATAAAAAAAGAATGAATTGTTGGCATTTTATTGGGGATATGGTAGATATTCTGCTGATGCTTAGTAGTCTGGATTAATCCCATTATTGGCAATTAATGGCAATTTTATACAAACAACATTTTTTTAGTGGAGAAATATGGTGATGTTTACTAGTAGTAGACAGGAAATACCATGGTTTCAGAAAGAGCCTCCAATCTTCATCAGTTTCCTTGGTTTTTGTTTGTGGTATACTCCCGTGGAGTTAATTAAAAATAACAAAAAAATTTGTACCCCCGTGTTAGAACTTAACGCGTTTTAACTTTATTTTACTCCCTCCACCATTCTATGGATTAATTTATTCCGTTTGTAACTCTTCAAAATACTCATGGGGATAGATAGTGATGGCTGTAAAATGAATGAATTGAAATAGAAGGCAATAATGTTGCACACATGTGTATTTTGCTAGTAGGCAGGTTAAGTTCGTAACTGGGTCATGTCGGTCCATGATCAACATAATATTCTATATCGATTTAGCGATGTCCGTCCGTCTGTCCATCTATCCGTCTGTCCTTTAGTGGAAATCACTCTAGCTTCCGAACGAATTGAAGTAGATTCGTAAAATTTTATTCAAATGTATGTTATGTCTGTATGTATTATGTTATGCAGGACTTTTGGTATTGAAAATGGGCTATGTAGGTCCACGATTTGGTATAGCCCCCAAATAACGGTGCCTACCGATTATCGGTATTTTGATGATTTTAGCGAGATTATTCACCGGAATTGTTTCAAATTTGGTATTTGAATGGATACTACAGCCCAAGACAGAAAATTGTCTGTGCAGGTCCACCTCTTCGTAGAGCCCCCATATAACGGTACCTCCCGATATTCGGTATTTTAATAATTTTAGCGACATTATTACCGATTTTGTTAAGTTTCGCATTTGAAAATTGTAATGGCTTATGACAAATGTTACCTATGTAGAACAATGTCGTCGTATAGACCCTAATATGACGGCTACATTCGGTATTTTTAAGTTGTTAACAGAATTTTTAACGTATTTAATTGTTTTTGAGAATTGCCAAATACGTTCTAAATTGTGGAGGTATTGAAAGTTTGGCCCGGCCGAACTTGCTGCCCTTTTAGTTGTTTTACTTTTTTTATCTACTCACATGTCCTCAAATAAACAATTATTTAAGTTATTAATCATCTTTGTATATGTACCCACAAAAATATAAAAATAATAAAAAGACCTCAGCTTCATCGAAACACTAATTATTGCTAATATTCTCTTTTTATACTGTGCTGTGCATTATCCTATTTTTGGAGTGATTTAATTCAACTATTCGCTGCTAAGTGCAGTTAAGTGCTAAGTGCATGGTAGTTTGTTTATGTTAGTATTACTAACTATTACTAGGAGATTAATTTTTACGGTAAATTAAATGTCTTGTATGCAAAAACAAGTGAAACGACTATTGTTTATTACAGAAACTCTCGGTTTCCTCTGATCTCTCTTTCTATTCTATACATGCTTCCAAATTTGTCGACGGCTTCTTTCATGACTTCGGAACTATTGTGGATGTGTACGAATTTCCATTGATATCCCATTGTATTGTATTGTGTGTTCGACAGTTGGAATGATGGTGGCGTTTTGGTTTGGAATGGAGCATGAGTTGGAATGTAGATTTCATCAGTATAATTGGAGACTAAGAAGTAGGTTGCCTGAGTCTGGACTCTGCTTCCGAAAGATCCTATGGAAAATATGTTGCTCGGATACGACTGGAATCGTTTTGAGATACCTAAGGATGCAAACGTGGAAGCTCTCTGACCAGCTGCCTGGAGGGTATAAAAATAGTGATATATACTTGTATTATACCCCGACTTCGAAAAGGAGGGTATATTAACTTTGCCATTCCGTTTGCAACATCTCTATATAAAGCACAAAATTTCCTGTACAGATCCACGCCGTCGTATAGCCCCCATATAACGGTACCTCCCAACATTTTGTATTTTGATGAATTTAGCTACATTAGTAACAGGAATATATAACACTTGGAATTTGGGTTTGGTAATGGCTATCTGCAAACATGTTTCAGCTATGTTAAATTTTGAGACACACGCAGTGGATAAAGTAGAGGTGGACACATAAGTCTTTTCGCGAAATACACAATCAACTACACCATCGGACATCGAGGATGAAGTGGAGCGGATTCGAAACCATCTTTCTGAGAAGTCCGCAATAAAACTAAATGTAATACTTATATTTTACATATAAGTCATTATTGAATAAAAAGTAATAAAACAACTTTAAATTCGGCAGGGCCGAACTTTTAATACCATCCACCATTGGGTAAAGAAAACATTTTCATAGAAAAGTATCTGAATTCAAACATGTTCCACATTAACCTAAACCTCAAACTTTTCAAAAAAAAAAAAAAAAAACATACACACAAAGTGGGTGAGGGCGTTATATGGGGGCCATATAAAAACGTGAACCTGTATAGACAATTTTATGGATTCTCATCTACCAAATCTTCTTAAATACCAAATTTGAAACAATTTCGTGGGTAAATGTGACTAGGATTATCAAAATTCGGAATATCGGTGGCTATAGTTATGTGGGGGATCTACCAAAACGTGGACATATTTATACTATGTTCCGCCACCGGAACTAGAACCCATTATGACCTGCAAATACCCATTTTTTTTAGACAAATCTATGAAAAAATGTGGCGCAAATTATCAAAATACCGAATAGCGGGAGATGCCGTTATATAACGGCTATACCAAAACGGAGGGCAATATATAAGTATATATACATCAAAAACACATATGTACTGTAATAACACACACTTTAAATATAGTCGTCTTATATTCTACAGAACTAAATATTTTACACCTTGTCGTGTTCTCAGAATAAAAGCAAGTAGAAGAACAATTCAGTTCAATGCCGTTGAAATATGCCGCTATAACCTCAAAAACTCCGAATATCCGTGAATTTGTATTAACAGTTTTCAATCATAGGAAGCAGTAAACACTGCAAACTCCAAACTCCGAATTCGCAATAATTCTAGTGAACAGTGTCGCTAAATACTTAATATATCCAGGTAAAGTTATATAGCAGCTATACGAAGATGTGGACATGTATATGGAATTTTCTGCCAGAGACGGTGGTGACTATTATCACTTAAGTTATTGCAACCCCTTTATTGACATTTACATCCTTTTCTATATACACAAGCTTTCTTATGTATATCGTTTATTTTATAACTTCTCTTCACATAGTATTTTAAGATTTTACAAACTATAATTATTATTATTATATTTGCCTTGTGGAATCTAACGTCACTTAATTCTAGAACTTTGTTGTAGAGGTTTCTTGCTGTATTCATTTTATAAGACTTTGTTTTCTCTCAATCGGTCTCCAATTTGCGTATTTTGTGAGTCTGGGACTTAGCAATTATTCTTGCTGGCTCTTGTTTTCGACTTTTGGAATGTGTGATTTTTCATAGGTCCACTACAGAATGGTCCTCTCCGTATACGTCATTAACGCAATCAGTTACACATTAGTTGCAAAGTCCTGAAACGTTTGCTCTCACTACTCTTCCTCTTAGCACCACTGAAAAGAAGTTATGCTTATGTTCGCTATGTTTCTTGAACCTGGGTGCATAATTTGTACGTATTACATTATCATTGTCTTTCCATGAATTTGTGGAAGCTACTGTCTCGAACTGCCATTTCAAGACGCTGAGCTACGGTGATCCGTCAAACAGGGGATGTTTTAATTTGAACATATTGTCAATATCTCACAGCACCACCTTTCAATTTTAGTTGGGACGGCTTCTTCTCTGTGTACAGAAACTTCTCCTCATGAGCCTGTAGTTGTTCATCTATTGTACTCCCTTTTCTTTGTCTGTACACATCCTATACTATACTTTCGATAACTTGATAAATGTTTTCGAGCTTATTATCCAGTTTTCTCCGGTTGATTTTTAATTCCTTTTTCAGACTTTTAGCCATCTTAAGAATTTTCTTCTAACGTAGCAATAATTTCTCTGGAATTTTTTTTAGCATTGTAGCCAGTACCGCTGTTAAATCTCCAACACTGGCAGGTGAGTCTTTCCCGATTTCCACGTAATTTGGTTCAATTCAACATTTGTAAAGTCTGTTTGACTTCCCAGTGAGACTTTACTTTGGTCAAATATTTTGCTTGGTTTACTCAATGCTGCAGTCGCGCTCTTAGTACGTGGTCTAATTTAAACTGATGAATTGGCCTCTCACTCGTTTTTACTTATAGGACGTCACTAAAACATGAACGTTTCAGGAATCGCAATTCCTTATGTTTTGTAACGATTTTCATTCCTTAATGAACATGTAAATATATACATACAAACCAACTGCCAAAGGAACAGAATTATAAATATTAGTTAGTGAGAGAGCACCAATAATGACGTCATAACACAATCTATAAAACTACCACTGATATACCAGGAAAGAACGAATATAAAACAACAACCATAGCAAAATCGTTTAGTAGTTGAAAAATACTTAGGCTTAATCACATTATTCTTTTTTTATAAAAAAAAACAACGTTTGTTTATTAGTGGAGAAAGGTGGTAATTTATACCAAGGGGTAAGGTAAGGTTTCGGAAAGAACAACCAATACTGACCAATTCCCTAGGTTTTTGTCTGGGGATATTCTCCCCAAGAGTGATTTCAAAATAATTTTAACAAAAACGTTTTTACCCAAGTGACAAATTTATAAGCTCAATAGAAGATAACCCAAAAAATTTAATTTAACTGAAATTCGTTCGGCATTTCTTCTAAATTTTACAGCCGCACTTATAAACATTTCCATCTCTGTCCACTTAAACTACAAATTTCAAATCTGTCAATTGGTTGCAGTCATTTCTAAGCCACTCGTCCGACAGCTGTTAAAATTATTCCAGTGACAGTTCATTATATTGTTTACAAGCGTACAAATGAATTTTCAAGAAAAAAAGTAATTCGTGATGGAATT